AGACCTGGAGCTTAAATGGAGTACAAATTTGAGAACATATCATGAAGAATGCTATAGGAGTTAATAAGGAAGAAATTGCTTGCTCAACAGGAGTGACAGACCAGTGACCGACGTGGATTTGAGATAGATTTCACTGGAATTGAGGAAATATTAGTCTAGGAACCATTCTTTAAGAATAGTAGCGTATCCTGAGAAGCTGCTGAAATTAAGTAAAAGGACAAGAATCTAAGAGGTGTGTCATAATGAGAAGATTGAAGAAGTGAGATAAATCAATAACACGGCCAAAAATTGGCTGAGTGGCAGTAACTTGCAAATACTTTTCATATTGATTCACTAAATGGGGACTTCATAAATATCTAGAGAGTCTAACAGAAGCTCTATTTGATTATCTGAGACCAGTGTGATGTGTAAAAGGGAATAGTTGGATCTTATACACTATGCTGAAGGTTCAAACAGAGAAGGAAAGCTGAAGCCTGCTTTAATCTCAAGGCAAGCCTAAGGCTAGGGCATGTCCTGGAACAGCAAGGACTCACTCTGACATAGGAGCAAGGTGAAGGATGTATGCCCCTTCACACACCCTGCTTTCTGGACTACTCCTGGAAGGAGTAGGGCAGAAAGTCTTTGTCAGAGGATCATGTAAAATGGAAAGAAACATATGACTTTTGAAGTATTTGATTTTCTTAAATTTAATGGAGAAACCTTTATTTGGAGTGGGGAAAAAAAACACAAAGGTTTTCATCAGCTGAAGGTAGTCAGTGGCAGCTTCAGAATGCAATCAGTTGCCTTAGAATGAGGGGTTATGGTACCAGCCTTGAGGATCTGCAGGACACATGGTTTCTAAAGGGACAGCAGGTATTGATGGTTTACAAAACTTTAAGGCCAATTAAACCTACCATGCTTCATATCTTTATTATTCTTGTTCATATGTTCATTCATTTATTTATTATCTACTGTATGTCAGATGATAATGGACTAGGTACTTGGAACAGACAAGGTCATCATTCTGATGGAGCTTACATTCCAGTTGGGAATGGGACTGGGGCGTGAGAACACTGGAATAGTAAATAAAATACTGCACTGAGTCTTCAGGATCTGAAGCATTTTGTGTATATTTGAGTATATGCCTAGACATGTATGTATGTATGTGGTCATAGTGTAGGTTTAAGTGTGTGTGTGTGTGTGTGTGTGTGTGTGTGTGTGTGTGTGTGATAAAGGTACAGAGAAGAGAGAGTAGCTGCTGTAGATTTTTCTGGCTATGCCAGTCTCCATATAAAGAAAATAACTACCAAGTAATATCATCATAGAAATGCTTTTGGTATAGTGTAGCATAAGTTAGTGAAATACTTTTATTTGTTTTATATTGTCTTAAGGTTTGTTGCCTATTGAAGAAAAAATTTGATATTCAGTATTGCCAAGATTACTCTGGTAAGCTAGACACTCTCTTTTGCTACCGATGGGATTATAAATTGTTAAATCTTTCTAGAAAGCAATTTGTAATATGTATTAAGAGCATTAATATGTTCTCATCTTTTCAATATGTGATTTTATGGACTTTATCTTAAGAGAAATAGTCCATAATGCAGGCAAAGCTTTATGCACAGATATACTCACTATAGCCTAATTAGTAACAGAAATAAAATGCTAAAAATCTAAATTTTATATGCATAGAGAAATGGTTTTCTTGCTATGGTTCGTGAACATATCATGCAAATAATTCAACTTATGTGCTCAAGGAGTTTTAATGACATGAAACAATATTTATGATATAGGAAGTTATGTTAAAAAACAGGATATAAATTTTTGTATGCTGTATATTCTTAATATTTAAAACAATTTTCATAAAATTGGATGGAAGGAAATAGGCCAAAATGCTTTATACTTTAAGCATTTTCTATGATTTGTACATTTGACTTTTATATCCAGGAATACCAATACATTTTATTTTTAAATCTCTGTCTTAGAGTGGGAGCTGAATGCCTCTGTGATTAAACCATTGTGTTTTATTCTGGAATGATCTGGAAAATCAACACTTACATATGTAACCATAATGTCAATTCAGATTTTTACTAAAGATTTGGTCAGATGGGCATATTTTAGAGCAATTGCCTTTGTTGCTTTTCTTTAGAAAGTTTGTTCTTAACTTTTTAGCATGATAGGTGAAGGCCTATTCTTGGCCTGTGCATGGTGAATCCACTGAAGTTGTAGAAATGACCTTCATTGGGCAATAATTTTATAGGAAATGATTAAGTAAATAGAAAGCAGAGATGTGTTACTTTAAGATTAGGGCAATATTTCTTAAAGTGTGGTCCCAGCAACCCCTGTTTAAAATGTAACTTCCTGACCTACTAAATAAGAACCTGAGGATGGGTACTGAGAAGCTGTATTTTTAAAGAAATGCCTTATGTAATTCTGTTGAGATTCTTTAAAAGCCATCAGTTGGGGAAGAGAGGTTTGAGATTTAGAAATTCCTGTATAGAATCTTCTCTGCCCCAACAATTATTAAATAAAATGAGACATTTTCTCAATGGCATGGACCCAAAGTATGCTTTGCTTCTTGGATAAGTCAGAACTGGAGAATAGGGTCCATCTACCACTCTACAGCAGTCTTATTAGAGAGGTGTAGAGTTGGAACCCTTTGAGAGCAGACACGGGTGGTCAGTAACATTGCTGGGAATAGTGATAAGGTATAGGTAATTTGTCTTTGCTAGAAAGTAGCAGCCCACCAGTTCCAGTTCCTTTGGGTGGAATGCTCGCCTGAATCATTGCACAAGAGAGTTTACAACTCTTAATGAAACAGGCCTCCATGAGGAGCTGTAATACCCTAGGGGTTACAAGCGTAATTGCTAGAGTCAGACACACCTTTCACTTGCTGTGTACCTGGATGAATTAACTCAAAATCTTAGATTCTTCTCATGTAAAATTGGGTTACTAACAGTACCAACTCAATGATGAAAAATTGCATGCAATCATTTAGCACAGAGCCTGGCAGAAAGCAAGCACTTATAAATGCTTATAGTGATGACTTCACAAGAGTTTAATATAAACTTAGGAGGTCAGGCTTTTCCAGTTGATTTTTCAAAGACCATGTTAATTATCAGAAAAGCCTGGGATTTTTAGTAATCCCGAATTCTGTGTGTGTATATGTGTGTGTGTGTGTGGGGGGGGGCGGGAATGGGGAGAGTTGGCAGTGGGTCCAAGTTTACTAATAGTTCTTCGTCCAACCCTAATGTCACTTACTGAAATTCACCCTCTTGAGGTTGGTGTAGGACCGAGTTGAATAATGTGAAGTATCATTTGCAGAGTGACTTTCATTGCATACCTTCTCTAGTTCCAAAGAAAGTCAGGTCATTCCTACACACATAGACACACACAGAGCCTTAACCCTGGCCACCTCTATATTCCTGGGTGCCGCATTCTATAAAGCTATTTTAGGTTCTAACAAATGTCTCTGGCTTTATGATGGTCACCACCATGAAACACATTTACATATCCTTTTCTTGCCTTATTGGTAAATATTTTCTGAGTAAAATTACTTGATACTCTCTTCTTAATTTAAACCTACATTTGCCAAGTTATAGGTTTCTCTAGTAGCTTCTCAACTTTAGGAAAATAACCTTCCAGCCCCCACAGAAACATGACTAAATCAGGTCAAGACAATCACCAGGAGAAATCCTTTATATTATCCAGTTGCATAATACACTTCTTGAATAAATGACATATCCTAATTTAGGATACATCACCAGATTCAGGTCAGAGAGTATCCTCTGCCAGTCAATCAGAGTGCGGGTCACTGGAAGATCTCTTCGTAGAATTTTTCTCAAGGCTTCATTGGATAACTCCTGTAATTCTTCTAAGACTGCAGCTTGAAATTTATTCTCTTGCTCTTCCACAAGCCTTGCAAAACTTAAAGCCAGTTGAGCTTGGTTAACTACTTCCAAGCTTTCTTTCAGGTCTTTGGAGATTTTAATATGAAGGTTGACACACTTGAAGAAGTGAGCTTGCACAAAAATCCTCCCTGTTACTTGGGTTAGAAATGGATTTATTTGGAAAATCCATTTAGATTTCCAAAGGCCATTCCAGAAATTTGCTGTCTCATAGCTGTGATCTTCAATGCAAGCTATCAAGAACTCCTTATTTTTCACAGATTTCCTCAGCACGTTGCAATTTCCTGATGGATAGTGATCATTCACATACAGTTTTAAGGCACACAGAACAACATTTCTCAGGTATTCTGTCTCATTCCGAATGATACCGTGAGTCTGGATGTCTTTTAACTGGTTTTGAAGCAGGTCGAATTTGAAAGAAAGTTTGCTTTGGTAGTCAAAAAATCGGAAGTCACCCATTACATTGTGGTGAGACAAGAGGACTGGATTTCCATCAATGCAGAGTGGTACAGAATATTTTTGGCAGTGTTGGTGACCTGCACACTCACCTTGATGGTGCATAAGTTTTTCGTCACGGATAAGCAGACAGAGATCATCAAAGGCATTTACAAATTCCCCTGGAGGAGCCTGTATTAACAGTCTGCGAATTGTTCTTTCTTTCTCTTTCTTACTCAGAACACTACGTGACATGTTTGGTTGCAGCAGAAGCAAAGCTTCTGAAATAAAGAGTGTTCAAAGGATGAGAAAACATTCCATGAGTCACCTTTCCCATCAAGGTGTTAAATATTCAAGCTTAAGATTGCTATGTCTAACCATGAAAACAGGTTGTCTGGCAAGCTCTGAGTCTCCTGATGAAGTCATAAAGAACCTTTCTCTATAAGCTGTGGAACTTTTGATGATATCACAATGGGCGCTCACAACCCCAAAAGAAAATGTCACCTGACAGTGCGGTGTCCGGCCAACCAGTTATGTGTATTTTGAAGATTTTAAGAACTTAGCGTCGTGAACAACCTTCTTCAAAAGCAGTGTGTCTCTGGGTACATTATATGTTGTCAGGGATCTAGAGAAGCAGCCCAGAGTTTCTAGAGAGGGTTTTGTAGCACTTCGGGGACCGCAATGGCATTGACTTATGCCCAGGCTTTCAGAATAGCTGCCCCAAACCTACTGGAAACATGTTATGCTGAAAGGTTTGAGGGCTTTAAAGAAAATAGCAAAAATAAAATGAAATTTGGTGGTAGTTCATGGAAAAATGCCAGAGGATGCAGAGGGTGCAGCATTTATAAATATTGTGGGTTTGGAGATGGTCAAAACATAAGCAATAAGCCAGAAAGTTTCAAGGGCAGTGAAGTTCAGGGACCACATCTTATGTTCTGTTTCTGTGGGGATTAAGTGTGAGCTAACTCCAAAGAACGAAGACAGCAAACCACTGTGTGTTCTCTGCTTTCTCTCTAGAAAAGGGGCAGTGACAGCAGCTGATGAGTATCAAGAAATTCCTTTCCTGCAAAGGAGCAGAGTTAATTACATTTGAAACCCAGCGCCTAATGGGGAGAGACTCCTATGCAAGGGAGAAACAGGACGACAGGTCATGAAAATATGGAGACCAAATATCCATTCGGAGTCTTCTGTTCCTCTTTTTTCCTCTTTAATCTTGATTTATCACCTTAATTCTTGTTCTTTTTGAAGAGTCCTGAACTACCGTCCCTCTCATTTAAGTATAGACTTATTCCTTTCATATCTGTTCTGAGCTTTTGAGTTTCCCTAGCTTCCGGTATCTTTTTCTTATAAGAACATGAGCTTTACCGTATTAAATAGTCATAGACATTAAATTTAAGGGGTTCTTGTTAGTTCTAACAATCTGAAATTGAGTGGATCTTTGAACGATTTTTACCAATACCTTTCATGATTTTATAGACTGTCATATTCTTTTCAATCTCAGTTTTTCAAATTGAAGTGTTCTAATTTTTGTAGAATATCAGTATGTAATAAGTAAACTTGATTATTTTCCTCTTTCATACCAAATATATACTCACCATGACATTTTTAACCCTTTTGGATGATACATGAAATGTTGCTTTTTCGGGCATGTGTATAGCTAGCTAGGTATTTTGCTAATATAGTGGTAATAATTATGTCAGATATGGTTACTATTTATTGAACACTCAGTAGCAGAAACTGTATTTAGTGATGTAGTATGAACTCAATTAATGTCCCTACTTTC